ATCTGCCACCCACCTGAATTCCAAACTTCCCAGGTTTTGGTTTCCTTTGACTGCAGCTGTTGATGCTTTCAATTGGGATTGGGGGGGGGGTTACCTTTATGATTATCCTCCTATCTATCTTCTTCCTCATGTAATCACATTTGTACAAGCCACTTTGTGTCGAGTTCTCTTGGTGGTGTCGTTTTGGCAGGTACAGTCATAGTTTCCACTTTTGAGTAGGGTTGTGGTGTTCTGCTGGTATAGATGATGAATAGTCACTCCTCATATCACAGACCTGATGTATTCTTTCAGATGCTGCCTGGTGATGGTCTGGAAGATTTCTGACACAATGCAGTCACCCCTCCAGCTGGGCAGTCTCCTTCCTTCCATCACCCAGATGTCAGTTCCTGATGGGGTACTGGTGCTGGTTGGAGCTGGACCAGCCACACAAGTCCTCACATGTGAGTGACCCAGGTACCCTCCTCCTACCACTGACTGGATGATTCATTCTCAATGCTATCTGGTTCTGGACTGGATTTGAACCGCCACATTGTTGTCCACTTTTCTATAGTTGTCCGGATGTCAGTTCCTGGGAGGTACTGGTATTGGTTGTATTGGACATGCACACATGATGATGTGAGTTCTTGGAACAGAAGCTCTTCTTCCCTTTCAGCTCCCATGTTTGAGGTAAATGGTAGAGGACCCTTTTCCTACCAGGTAAGCCTTTTTTGATTCTGTTAGTGTTGTTTGAGGTTGAATTCCCTCTTATGATCAGCTGCACCCCAGCCACTCTACACCAAGAGTCCCTTCATTTAATGTATGTGGTCCCTCTTGTGATTCCCCCCTTATTGCGACATTTCATTTTCATGAGCGAAGAGTATATATGGCTCAGAAGTGGTGCGATCTTCCACATGTATCTTACGTACTCTTTATTTGCACACCCCATGGGCTTCCTTTGGGTACTTTCTGAAGGGGGCTTATCTTGGTAATGTTACACCAGGTCAGTGTGGGATTCTGTCTGTTATGTGAGAAAAGGTAAAATATTGTATCACAAGTTAACATTTTCCTACACTGAAAATGTATTTCTGATACATTCTTACCTCTTCTCACATTTCCCACCCTTCTTTTTCACTTCCGGTGTCTTTTCTTTTAATGTTGCTCAATCTCGAAATGAATATGAGCTAAGCTGCATAGAGGAAGTCAGTTGTGCTAGGAGTTGTCACACTTCTTCTGGTGGAGAGTTGTTGCATGCTATCATACAGCTGCCTCATGTTAAAACACATGAGTGTAGGTGGGAGTTTCAAGGCTCAAGAATTTGAGCATATTGAGAGGGCTGTTATGTGAGTTGAGGTAAGACTTTATCGGAAATACATTTTCAGTGTAGAAAAATATTAACATGTATATGATAGATTTTGGTATATAACATTTTAGGATTAAAAAATTAACATAATCTTTCATTGTTTTATGTGACAGTTTTTCGCCGGTTAAATGAAGGGTAGTTTGAAAATGTCCTGAAACTCTCAAAACAAGCTGCAAGTGGGTAGATTAAAAACTAATCATGTAACTTTACCCTCTATGACCAAATAAGCTGCTGTTTTAGTAAAAATAGTTTTCCTTAGAGATACATAAGAACTATTTTGAAAATGTATTATAGCCAAAATCAATGAAATACATCACAGCTTTGTTGACAAGATGCCAGTTGTCAGGTATGAGTGTATTTCCACATTGTTTAAGTTTAATGTTTGTAATACTTTCATATATTGAGTACAAGAGAAAATATTTCCATTGTTGTATTGTTTTCTACTAGAAGAGGTGAGATTAAAAGATAATTGTATGACAGAGTAAGCCTATTGCAGGTTATGGCTGTGCATGTGGCTACTGTACTCACCAACACTAACTTCAGTTTGTCTATTACAAAGAATAATTTGGTGTTATATGAATTTACATATATTTTATGTTGTGTTACTATCACTGAAAATTAAAAATATATTACTCCCACAAAAGACCTATTTAACCTACTATTTCTAACTAGGTCAGTTAATAGAAATTCCCTGTTAGATTTCTTTCCCTGCACACCAAGTTAACAAATCATTGCCACATTACAAATGCCATTCATTTATTATTTAAATAGCTACATCCTTATATTTTTCTTCTTTACCTGCTCATATCTCTCACTGTGTTTTGAGACTAAGCTTTCCCTTTTGGCTGTTTTTGTCATGCTCATTGTTAGCCTGTCTTTGACTGTGTCACGTTTCATGTACTTAAGTTAGCACCATGTATCCTTCCCTTCTTCAACCTTAGTTTGCGTGATTCTATAATTTGGGAACATGGGCTAAGTGTCACAGGACAAATATTGATTACTGTGTGGCAGATTTTGGATATCAGGTTGATATGTTCTCAATAAGTTTGTCTCACGTTTGTAACTAAAACTTCCATAATTAAAGCAGTGTGGATTTTTAAAATACTAGCCGAGTGATTAATGAGCCTGATATTCAACAGATCAATTATTCTCAAACTGTACATGTATAGTTGGATTAACGAAAATGTAATTGTTGAAATCATTTTCAGTTCACTGATTATGTTTGCATGAAATTAATGGATTTAGCTGAACAACTTTGAATTAATCAAAAATAATAGAATTCATAATTGCAATATTTAGATTAATGGATAGATTACTTAGATAATTCAAAACGGAAATAATCTGAAACACTAATTTCGATTAGTTGATTATTTTCATAACATTAAATGATTAATCAGTTGTTTCATGTTACACTAATTAATACTTATAAGTAATTGATTAATTAATTTAATTATCCAGCTCTAGTTGTGTTGCTTTCTACTCAGCAGTAACATTAAAAAGTTGATCATATGTCAGATTATTAGGATGGCTTTTGTACTTTTTTATATATACATATCTTTTTTATGAAAGTAATTTTTCAGTGTATAATTATATGTAAAGGTATTGTAGGCTTTTGCAGATGTTTTATTCTAAAATTGTGTGGATCGTGCTTTTCATAGATATACTTTTTTTTCTTTTAAAATAGTTTATTGAAGAAAATAAAGTAGTGAAAAAAAAACTTGAAGAAGCCCAAGAAGAACTGAAATCCAAAACTAAGAAGTGAGTTACAAGATAAATAAACTTTCTTCAATTTTTAATTTTTATGAATTGTTCACATATCCCATTGAGTGTATTTTTGTTGTGTACACAATTATATGTTTTGGAAATGCTTACAACTGTGACTAAAGCATGTAATTCAATAAGTACTATGAAGACTAATTAGTTGTAGTAAAATGTTTTGTCCATTGTACTTTCAACAGGAGCTCACCTGAACTTGACAGTCTATTCAGGTTTGGTTTAAAAGTCCTTTTTTATATGTGAAACATAGTTACTTACTGCAGTTCTAATGATCGTAAACTGCTCAATTGTTTTTGGAATATCATTACATTCTAACCCATGTATGATAGATAGATATTTCCACATATCTTGGTAAACAGTGATCCTTAATACAATCTACCGGTTTTCTTGATATATCTATACTTCTGGACACTCAGATCATTTCTACATGTAGACGACATTCAAGGCCATTTGATTTTCTTATGCTGTCTTTATACACAACATAATCATGGGTTAAGGATGTCTTGAAGTTCTGTTTGTGGATAAATGTTGTACAATAAAGTCCCAAATTGTTTTTCCTATTCTGTCTTTATACACAACCTAATCATGGGTTAAGGATAGTCTTGAAGTTCTGTTTGTGGATAAATGTTGTACAATAAAGTCCCAAGTTGTTTTTCCTATTCTGTCTTTATACACAACATAATCATGGGTTAAGGATGTCTTGAAGTTCTGTTTGTGGATAAATGTTGCACATTAAAGTCCCAAGTTGTTTTTCCTATTCTGTCTTTATACACAACATAATCATGGGTTAAGGATGTCTTGAAGTTCTGTTTGTGGATAAATGTTGCAGAATAAAGTCCCAAGTTGTTTTTATTTTCAAGTCATGTTGATTATGCTGGTTATTATTTTCACAGGAAATTTATTTTTGCTTGGATAACATTTGATGTTTACCTCTTTTCTGAATTATTCTATATTGTTATGAATCTGCTTGTTTGATAATTTCAGGTAAAAATTCTTTCCAAGGAACTTCAGCGATACAAGTCCCTTCTTAATTAAAACTAGTTTATTTTTTCTCGATACAAACTTACTAATACATTTAACAACTTTTATAACACACGCTATAAATCACAGTGATTCACACACTTTACTTAAGGTGCCTACTATTCATTTGACTCAATTATCTGTCTCTTCACTCTATCTATCTCTGCAAATCTATCTATATCTCTTCTATTGCTGGCTTTATTTGCTGGGCTTATATACTAAAAAAGAGGGCACCTGGCAAACACTCGGATATTCGCAGAGTTTCTCGATAAGTCATGATCCTTCCAGAAACTCCAGTGCGCATGCTTCCAGTGTCGCATGACTTCCGCTGTTGTTACAATATTATTGACATAAAACTATTATGAAAACTCTGGTGAAAAAGTAATCTTTAATATATATACAATCGTTATTGTTGAAGTGTATATTTAAAAATGTACGTTCATGTAGTAAATTTCAGTTACAAACTTTCCACCCATTTTGATAACTAGGGTGTCATATAACAGTAAACAAGTCTTTCACTATTTCTACGGTGAATTTGATATTTTTATGTTGTTTAGTTAAGTAATTGAGAAACTTGTTCATCTGTTCTTCTTTCTCAAATATAGTAAATGTATCATTCGTGTATTTTTTGTACACTAATGATTTTGATCCTGTGGAACATTCTTATGACCAAATCATTTCATGTTAAAACATATAGGGCTAAACTGGACCCCACACTAATTCCATTTATTTGTTTCTTTCCATTGAACAAAAAGTGCTATTCTTTTTCTTCCTATTTCATACAATTTTTGAAAGACTTCTGTGGGTACACCCTTAAAGTTACCTCCATAATTGTAAATCAACTTTACTGGTAATTCAGTGATCTCATTGAATACTATATTAATGAATAGATTCTGAGACGATATCTCAACTCTGCACACAAAATAACTTGAAAACTCATACAGCTACCTATGAGGCTTGCATGCCAATAACCTTGAGCTAACTCCCACCTAAAAAGCACATATTAAACATGAACTGCACTAGTGTAATAATAGCTCTCCACCAGTTGGAGGACAGCACAACCTTCATCACAGTAACAACTTTGAAGTACTTACATTTGAAATAACTTCATTCTTTTCCTCAGTGTTATCTCAATGGATGTGTTTTAAAATTATTAATTAAGTATGTTTCTTTCTTTACTACAGAACAAGAAAAAATTTGTTTTCCTACATATCCATTATTCTCAAAAAAATGATAACTTCTACTTTGTCTTGTAACGGTAACAACATTAATAGCACAGGTCCTGTATCTGCTGTGGCTATTGGAGGCTTGTCATCCATGGAGGACTTTACAGTAATTGTTCAACAAGTTGTGGGTTCTCTCATTCATACAGAGCCTTGTCTTCCTATCCACTTGACTGACATTCCTTCTCTTCAGTTTTAACATGACCAGGATGTTGATGATTTTGACCAATCCTGATCTTTCTTATCCCTTTCTTGGCATGATTTCACAGGTATGTTATTTCTTTTTTTTTCTCCTGTGCCTTTCAATTCTTCTAATTCTTTAGTACATGATACTCATTTTCAAGAATACTTTGTCTTCTCTCCTTTTGATATTAGAGTTCATGCAGACTCATTTCATGAACAACTATGTACTTGTACTCACATGCTTTGTCCTCTTTGCCTAGTTGATTCTTTTGCCTTGGCTAACAACCATTCTTCATTTCTTCTTCTTGATTCCCAGTATTTGGAATTTCTTTTACCTGCTTGAGGGGCAGTTGGTGCATGAAGGTGATGTCAGCAGCTTGAGTATAGACTCAATAATCCTTCACTGGCTGTGGAGACCAAGGCTGTGAGAAAGTATAGATTTCCTGGATTTAAGAATGACATGTAATAGTCAATTGATTTTTAAGATTTATATTTAAAAATTAAGTCCATATAAAGAAATTTTCAAATTTAATAGTGTTAAACTCGAGTAGAAAGTATTCAACTAGAACTCCACATTAGATTTAACTTTAATTTTAACGTTATGTGAGATGGCACCTTTTCAGGGCTGGGATCACAGGATCTAAAAGTTCAAGGAAAAACTTTACTTTTGGAGGGAATGGGAGTACCTCGAGAAAACCCACTTTCACAGTCAGGGCGCTGAATAAAATACTCTGGCCTGGCTGTAGCTGTAAGGAAGAAAAAAGCAGGGTTAATACACAAAAATGACTATAAATATACAATTGGCTATACTAGTGAGAAATTTATGATACAGCTGGGAACGTCTAGTTGTACTCTTCCTGGAAGAGCTGGTTGTCATCCTCGTAGGCATAGTTGTAAGAAGCTGGAAGTAAATATTGGTCAAAGTTGGCATCGGGCATGTATTCATCAG